CTATTCACAAACGACGTCGTCTGTTCCGCATTAGGGTTATCACAATTGTAGCGTCGGATCAGCAGCGCTAGATATTGCCAGCACTATTATAGAATTGGAAATTACTGAAATTAACCGGTGTTTTGGGGCTGGGACATTGATAGAAGTCTTCACTATGCAACTGCGTTTGCGTCATATTTGGTTCACTGGCACTGCGATGAATTTTCGGCATTGCTCTTAACATATTTTCAAGCATATTTAGTAGTGGCCGAAATAGAGGACGATCATTTCGATCAAATTTGATGCAATCTTCAGCCAGGCGTTTTAATGCTTGTGGAGCGTCCGAACGTACTTTAGTCATATCAGGTCGAAGGAGTCCGCGTCCCACCATAAACAGAATCTGATCTTTATTATTTATGTGGCTATATGGTAAGCATTCTGCTAAGAGTTCATACACAACTATTCCAAAAGCGTACACGTCAGATTGAAAAGAGTATGGGTTTTGTTCTTGCATGCGTATCACTTCTGGTGCCATCCACAAAATACTCCCAGTTGGTTGATTAGCCTGCTTTTCGCCAGACCAGCGTGTCTTTGCAGTGGCTAAGCCGAAATCACCTATCTTTACCGATAAATCCTCATGCAAAAATATGTTGTTTGACTTTAGATCTCTAAAAATGTACATACGTAAATGTTTGGGATTAATATAAATACATACGATGTAAATATTCATATGAGTGTAGCGTCATTGTGCATATATGTNGACTTTAGATCTCTAAAAATGTACATACGTAAATGTTTGGGATTAATATACATACATATATACGATGTAAATATTCATATGAGTAAGCATCATTGTGCATATATGCAATACCTGTGAATGATATTTTTAGCATGAAGATAATCCATACCCTGAGCCACCTGACGACCGATATCAATTAATGTGTTAAGTTTAAATTTAGTTTCATTAACATGTATATGTTTATACAAACTGGAACCTTCACACCATTGTGTTACAATTGCTAGCGAGGGTTTCGAGACACAGCCCATGAACAAAAGAATGTTACAATGTCGAGTTTTCTTAAGCATTGCCACTTCATTTTTGAATGCCTGCAACTGAACAGGACTAGGCGTTTTTACATTTAACGTTTTTACAGCGACGGGGCCGTGCCAATGAGCCTTATACACTGTTCCAAAGGACCCAGAGCCGATTCTTGGCCCAATTAATATCTCCTCAGCTTGAATATTCTGGAATTCAAACAAATATCAATATCGCCTTTGCTTTGCGATTTTATCATACCATACCCAATTTTCTTCGGATCCTTTTCCATCCCTAGGTGACAACAGATTTTTATTGCTTTCATCTGCCGAACGCGCTCTTTGTCGCTTTATGGTTTTCAAAGTGCCGGTAGGAGATGCTTGTGTTGAATTGGAATGATCGCTGCTTGGATGCTGCGAGTTTGATTTTAATATTTAGAATTTAAATGGCTTCTATATTCATGCATTCATATTAGAATATATTACCTGTAGAGGGCCATGGTTTTGCACTAGACTACGTTGTGCTTCCGTCAGCGGTCGGATGTTATTTATACAAACGTTAGGTGCGGAGTTTGATCTATCCTGCTGACTTATAGTACGAGGATGTCTTACTTGCCCTAAAACAGCATTCCTTCCCGGATGTAAAATACCAACAGAATTTTCTGGGTTTTGAGCTAATAGTCGTTGATAGTAGTTATCCATTGGAAATTGTTGGCATAGTGTTGGTACTTTATCAGCACATCTTTGATGAAACCGGAAATTACATTGATTGCAGTAGAAACCACTGAAGAGCAGGCGTCGGCAGCCCTCACAAAAAGCCAAGGAAAAAAACGTCTTTCTTATGAATTGATGCGAAATATGTGTCATTATTGGAAATTTGTCCAATAACCGCACATAAATTTCTTCCACCATCAAAGAACTTATGTCAGTGTCCCATGGAATGATAATACGCCCGCAATCTGTTGCTGTAACTTCACACATATCAGGAGTCAATTGTCTCAATTTAAGCGCCTTCATAAGCGCATCGCGTAACCGCACTCCAGGCACTACTTCCACAGATGTTCGTTGCTGGTTAGGTAAATGTGCACGCAGCAATACCTTTGGCGGACGTGTCAATGTACTACATTGGCTGCCATTGTTGCTGTTTGTAGCATAACAATCCGTCTAGAATTCAAGAAATATTTTTTAAAGGATTTGTTAAGCAAAAAATAATAATAAACTTTAAATAAACTAAAGAAAAACAGCCAAAGCTTGCTAAAATGTCGCGCCCCAGTTTATATTTGGGTCACTGCTACATATGTACATATTTGGATCCATCCCGACATACCATATCAGTAGATGCTATCTGACCATGTTGTTGTTGGTTCTGGTAATGGTGTGTTTGATTACTATATTCGAGTTGAATTTTTTGCTGATCGACTTGGCTAGATTCTTCTTGCTGGCAGCTTAGCTGATCCATAAGTTCGTGTTCTTTTACGAAAAGATCATGTAATTTTGAAGTAAGCTCTTGGTACTCTGTGATATACATCGGAGGTGGTTCTTGAAGATTAGCAAATTTTGCATTCAGAGCATCAATATTTTCTCGAGTAACATGTATAACTGATTGAACGTTTTGCAATTCTTCCGCAAGTGGGTCAAAAAGATCGCCACTGTCGTCTGTGGAGGAAGTGCTAGACATTTCGGCACCTTGTTGTTAGAAAACTGTTACCGGTCTAAAAGGAACTTTCAAACTTAGGACGTCTTGAAGCAATGCTAGCTAATAGGCGATTTGCCAATTGCAAAGTTTTCCAGTTACTGTCGCATAAAATTCGCATTTGTTTTCGGTCTTCTGAAGATTAGTTCGTCTCTTGCCGCCTGTACAATGGAAAAGTGAAATAAATTTAATTTAGTTACAGTATAAATATCATAATTTCTTTACAATAGGCGATAAAATCTTACAGCTTGGTAGCATATAAAAATCCACAGATAAAATTTGTTAAAGAAGGCTAACAGGGTTGCTTTAAGCCAATTTTAGACTTGTTTGTCCAGCATTTTTTCTATTGCAAAAAAACGTTATACAAATCTACATATATTTGTATGTTTATATTCGTAATTTTCTAGCGTTTTTGAAGTATGTATATGTTTAAAAAATACATTCTTCTACGAGTTAAATTTTTAATCATTTTACTGGAATAACTTTTTATCCAGTTTTGTCACCGACAGGTGTGTGTGGGCCAAGGCAGAATACATAGTTGTACTGACTCCTAGTCATCTGTTCCACTCTCTCCAAGCACGAACATTTCTGGACATCTTTTAACGATTATAATGTTCCTGAAAAATTCCTTGGAACTTGAAAAACGCTAACACACAGGAATTGATTTCAACCATCAAAAATAGCCAAATAATATTGAATACTTTCAATGGACAGGTTTTACTGTACCGTTTTTATATATTAGCCCACTGCAAATATTTGCAATAATAAAAGTTGTCACAATTTACTTAGTTTATAGCAATTTTATAAACTTTTTGACTCTCTGAAATCCTAGCAGCTCCTTTTCCTTAAACCACTTGGAAAAACGACATCGAATTTCCCCAAATAAATTATCCCATTTGTTGTTGGCTTGTGCTTTCACACACAGGCGGGAGTGTTGCCAATAAATTATTTTATTAGGCAAAAATGTAGCTTACGCTACGCGCACACTGCAACCGGGATCGGCTTATATCGGCTATATGCGGGCGATATAAATAAGCACTTGTGATTATATGAGCGCTCTCACACATAAACCGATAACTGAACCGACATCGGCCGTTGACGTCCGTCAGTGACCATAAATTCAAACATGTTTGTTTTTCTCGTCCGATGTCTCTCGTCCGATGTCAGATGAAAAGTACCAAAATGGACTGCGAAAAATTAACTTATTGGGTGCAAAAATAAAAAAATTACATATAAAATCACATGTTTAGAGTATATGTCAATTAAAATGTATCAAAATATTTCACTGCTTACAAAATTGTAATGAAAACTAGATTCGTGTGTACAAATAATCTGGTTAAGTGTACGCATCATTTCGGACGGTCAAATTGTTCGGCCGAAATCGGTCGGCGTATCGGATGCAATGTGCGCCTAGCGTTATTATCTGACTTAAATGGAGCAATTTTTTTTTAATCTTGCAATTATAGTGTTAAGAGCGAAATACACCACACAAGCGGTTTGTCAAACCGCTTGTGTGGTGTATTTCGCTCTTTACGATTATCCTCGAACCCTCGTCCGGATTACCCAAATATACTCGGGCTCGTATCGCTGGATTGTTAAATAAATGCTAACGATGACCAAATTGTAGTAC